AACACTAAACCCTATTCTAATTATTAAGGCCCCTATATTAATCCCTATTGAGGCCGTGGGGTCTATCAACCTGAGCTTCCATTACCTCACGCTGTGACTCTCGCCATGAAAAGCAAGACTCGGCACCCCTTAAAACATGAACCCCACAGCGGACGTCACTACCGTTGGTGATATAATCCTGCATTACGTTCAGGATCCTAACCTAAGCCATGGGATTTCTGTTATACTCCGTATTATGGGTAATGCAAGATTTACATCGTCAACCGTATGAAGTCATCCAGGGCGTTATAAGACCCTGGAGGAAAACTTGAACTCAACTATAAGCCCTAAACCCTAAACCCCTAAACCCTAAAGCCTAAACCCTAAGCCCTAAAACGAGCAAGGCCATCAGTTCCGAAACCCTCCACCCGAAAATCTCAATAATTTAGGGCCTAAATGATTACCTATACTATTTTGGGGATTCCTTATCATAATCATAGTATATTATTGCCCCCGCAAACCCTATTGAAATTATTAGGGCCCGTATAATATTACCCTAAGCCCCCAAACCACAGGCATCGGAAGCTCAATTCGGGCGACATGACTGCCAATTTGCAGATCAACATCCCCCAAGATGGCTATGGACCGGAACTCAGGGGGTGCTAGGGTGTTAGGGCTTAGGGCTCCCTTACTGTTTCTTTCGAGGGTTCCATTTGGGTGACATAAGTTTTAGGGTTTAGGGTTTGGGGAATTTGGTCCCACAAAATTTGATAAACCCTAAACCCTAAACCCTAAACCCTAAACCCTAAACCCTAAATTTGAAGTGGCTTCAGGGTTTCAGGCTTCGAGACTCTGCTTGGGATGTGTTTGTTGGTCTAGGTTTTCGGGGCTCGGTTTAGGGTTTAGGGTTTAGGGATCTCCGGAAACTAGTCAGTTTCGCTTCCTTCTTCTCTTGTTTCAGAGGTATAAGTGCCGAATTTGCAGCCTCCAATACCCCTTGAGTACTTATATAGCACAAAAGTTATTGGGCTTTGTGATGTGTAGGAAGCTAATTTACAAACTCGCGGCTCGTGCCGTGGATACGTTCAGTGTTTACCATAGACTCTTAGCAAGGGTAACCTCGCAGCAGAATCTTTCAGCACCTAAATGTGGTACCGAAATCGGATTCTAGATTGGTTTCTTGAATTAAGGGTGTCTATATGGTGTTCTTTAAGAGTCAGTACAAGACTTAGTTTCCCAATACCCAACCTTTAATTTTGTTGGGTTCTTGTAACTTAGTAACTTAGTAGTAACCTGAAAGTTTAACCTTTTATTTCCTTGGCTTATCAGGGAAGCAGGAAGAGGGGTTTGGAATTTAGAAGTCGCTTGCATTTGGCTGATTCAGACCCCCCAATCCGGACGCTGGGGGTCGTGACGATTGAAACTTAGCGACTTAGGGTTTAGATAGTATCTAGGGTTCAGGGTTTATTGTTGGGCTCAGATGCTAGATTTAGGGTTTGCTGGGGTTTGAGGGTTTCGAATCAAAGGTTTAGTCTAAAGTCTCCATAAACCCTAATCACGCATCACCCTAAACCCTACACCCTAAACCCTAAGCCCTAAACCCTAAACCCCCCCTTTTTTTGGGGTGGGAGGGGGTGGGGGGTTTTGGAGCCTGCGGGGTAACCCTGAACCTTGAAGTTCCAACCCTGCGCCCTCGCCCCAACAGCGGGTTTGGGGCTTAGGGCTTAGGATTTGGGGCTTAGGGTTTAGGGTTTAGGCTTAGAGTTTAGGGCTTGGGGTTCGGATTAAAGGGCTAACTACTAGTTGATGAATTCAGTGAGTTGGGTTTTACTTCCCTTGCATCTTCAAGTAATCCCTCAACCCTAAACCTTATAGTGACCCTTGTCATATAGAACCCTTACAGGAGCCCTAACTCAAGCAAATCGTAATCCCGAAACCCTAAACCCTTAAAACCTTGAAGCCCTAAACCCTAAACCCTAAACCCTGAACCCTAAACTCTAAACTCTAAACCCTTAAACCCTTTGAACCCTTGAAACCTTGAAACCTTGAAACCCTAAACCCTAAACCCTTAAACCCATACAAGCTTGAAGCCCTAAACCCTAAACCCTAAACCCTTAAACCCTTACAACCTTGAAACCCTAAACCCTAAACCCTTAGAACCTTGAAACCCTAAACCCTAAACCCCTAAACCCTATAAACCCTAAACCCTAAACATCCCTAAACCCTAAACCCTTAAAACCTTGAAGCCCTAAACCCTGAACCCTAAACCCAGGCCAGGGCTATGGCTATGGGATGCAGAACATGCAGATGTACGGCAACCAGGGCTACGGCGGGCAATGTTGCCCTGCAGATCTGGGTTCAAGGGTTTAGAAGGGTTTAGCTCCATCTTGAACTGCCAGGTTTTTTGGCTCAGGGTTTTGGGGTGTTTTTTTGGTGTTTAGGGTTTGGGGTTTGGGATGTTTTTGTTGGGGGTTGAGGGTTTAGGGTTTCCGGTTTCGGGTGTTTTTTTGTGGTTTATGGTGTTTTGGGGGTTTAGGGTGTTTTTTTGGGGTTTAGGGTTTCGGGTGTTTTTTCGGGTTTAGGGTTTAGGGTGTTTTTAGGGTGTTTTTTTGTGTTTTAGGGTTTAGGGTTTGTTTCGGGGTGGTTTTACATGGGTAGTTGTCTCACTAGTCGCTCCGCGTGTGTTCAAGATGTGCTCTTGTTTCACATCGTCCATGGGAACACCCACTCGTGCACTTCAGCTGTGCGCTTCCACCCACAATCACCGCGTGCACATGGGTAGTTCTCTAAATAAGGGTCCCTTCTTAGGTCCCTAAACC